GATTACCAACTATAATCCCCTTCATTTTTACACGAGAGGACAAAAAATTATTCATGATTATATCTTGTCCTAAGTTATTATAATTAAACTATATAAATTATATTATAAAAAAAGTATATAAATCATTTAATTTTTTATTAATTATACTATTTTTAAAATATTTTAACTATCTGAATATATTTTCATGTTTTTATATGAAAATGACCCTTTTATTAGTATGAGAAAGAATCGATTTACAGTGTGAGCTATATTTATTTTTATATTAATTAAAATTAATTGCTAAGTAAATTTTTTATTCTGTAAATTATATTTATAAAAATTTATATTAATAAAATATTTAATATTTTATTCATGTATACTACATTTAAAAACATGTACTTTTTCCAATGAGAAGTGATATAGTTATACTAATATAAGTTGTACAGTTTTTATATTTTTAATAATTTTATATGAAATATTTTTTTTATAAATTTAATTGTTCAATTATAACTATATATTTTTAAATTAATTCTGAAAATTTTCGTAAAGCTTGATAATGATAAGAATGCAGTTAAAATATTTTACCATATTTTTAAAACTATACATTATGTTAATTTAAATGTATTAAAAATAATTTAATATTAATATAAAATTTTATAAACATAATTTATATTATAAAAAAATAATTTTAAAATAAAATACAGTAAAAAATTATTAAATGATATAGAAATTGATGTAATTTAAACTAGTGTAATTTTTTTAAATGTAGAAAAATTATTTAATATTTTACTAGTTTTTTAAGTTTAAAAAATTTAGTATAAATAAATAAAAAATATATATAACTCGTATCGATGTAGGTATAAACTTAATTTTTTTTTTTTTTTTGTCAACATGTTGAACTAATGAACTCAATCAAATGCAACTTTTCAGCTTAAGCCCATTCAAAAGGACTGCTAGAATTTGACCATGGCAATTTACGATTCAATTAAACGAAAATAAACCCTGATGAACGACAATAATGCATAGGTTGCATTTTTGAAACATCGCATCAAAAGAAGAATCTGGGCCGAATATAATTTATAAAGAAACTCTAAGAACTAAAAGTTTTTTTTTTTTCAAAAAAAGAAAATGTTTTTTTTAATGAAAAACTTATGACAAACGTTATCTAATTTATCTTAGACATTATTTACATACATAGGGTGGGACAAGTGTAAAAGTATGAAACAACTAATATTATTCAGACAAAATTTAATATACACATCACATTACAAGGTTTATTTTAGAGTCTGGACATCACATCACACATTTTCCTATAGGTTTTTTCTTTTTGCAATGCCATTTTTTTCCAACCACACCAACTTTTTTTCAGAAACAAGTATTCAGAATTTATTAATTATTTGAAAAAATTACCGAAATGGGTGATATTACTATTATTTTGGTCAACTGAAAAAAGGGTGATATTAAAAGAAACTACTTTTGTTATATATCTTTACATATGTCACGTTCCCCCAAAGAATGATAGAACAACAGCATGTTGGCCCAAAGCTATTATTAAAAGTTAAAACTAAAAACAACGGGCCCAGACACAACCTAATCCATTCAGCCACTCACATGAAGTGATTAAAATCCATTGCCTTTTTTTACAAAAATTACAACCTCCTCTTTGGAGTATGGGGCTTGCTTTGGGACTTTTAAGTGGATTTTTTCTTGGACAATAAACATATTTCCATGATCAGTGATTACTAACCCTATGGGCCTCTATAAAAATAATTATATAAAAAAGAAAATAAAAATAAATAAATAGATATGAAAAGTTAAAATGGAGATGCGGGGTATCGATCCCCGTACCTCTCGCATGCTAAGCGAGCGCTCTACCATCTGAGCTACATCCCCATTTGTTAGTTGATTGCCAATTACAGTTTATAGCTGTTAAACTAGTTTGACATCTTTTTGAAAATGTCTTCTGCCAAATGGTTTTCGGTTTATCTGTGTCAAAAAAACCTTTAAACAAGCAAACACATTTTTCCCCTTTAAAATCAAGATAAAATTTAGGGAAAGCAAAATTTTTGTTATTCTCTCTTATGTACACAGATATTTTATTTTGTAAAATATTTTCCTATATTATGCTAGTGCAGTTGTTTCTGATAATGAAACTAAAAGACGCATTATGTCGATTATTTAAGGTTTTCTTCGAAATAAAAAGGTGTAAAATGTAAAAAGGTTTTCTTTTTTTCTTTCTTCTAATTTGATAATGAACATGCATAAGAGCGTAAATAAGTTCAGTAGTTGATATTTTAATTAATATTTTGAAAAGCATTAATCAATACTTAGTGTCGATTAATTCAATTTAAAATTTTAGAATATTTCATACTTTTATATTATAAAATAATTATTACTATTAATTGTACAGAAAATTTTACATCCTCTAACATTCTTATAACTTTATCGCAACTCCATGTTTTTATATATATATATATATATATATATATTGATTAAGATTAATATATTATAAATGTAATTGTATTAAAATTCCCCGGTTCATTGACGAGGTGGACGATTCTGATTCATCATTGATTTGTACCGTTGCATTGGTCCGTTACCTTTGGGTTTATTGGGCCCTTGTGGTCATCATAATGACAAGCATCCTATGCGACACAGCATTGAGGATAATAGTGCGCACATATCTTATTTTCATCCCATCCAATTAAATAACAAATATATAATCTTTATTATTATCAAGTGTAATTTTTCATGATAGTCGCTTTTTTTTTGTTGAACATGGTTATTCTAATTTAGCATTTATTTTATAAATTTTAAAATATATTGTTTTCAAAATATTTAATGTTAAGAAATATTTATTTATTTCTTTTACATTCAGATTTGAAATTTTAAAATCTCAACTTTGAGATACTTTTATTTTTTTAATTATTTTTCTCAAACCTTAATTATCTATACTTTCAATTTTTTAAAATTTATTTAAAAGGTTTATTTTTTAAAGTAAACTACTTATATTTTTAAAATTTTTTAAAAATCGTAGTGCATAAAACTTATATTAAAAGTAACGATGGGTATACACTCTAGAATTAGAGTGTATAGGGTGAAAGAAAAAGAAAAATAAAAGAGTGAAAGAGAAATGGAAGAGCGAGACATAATAATAATAAAAAGGACAGATAAAAAAAAATTATATTAATTAATTATAAAGTGTGCAAATAATAAGTTAGATCTTTATTAGAAATCTGTAACTTAATTCACATAATCTAATTTAGAATGTATTTTTTTATTAAACAAGTTTATATGTTTTTACAAATCTTTAATTTGAAAGGGTGGCCTTTGTTACATCCAAAAAGTCTTTATAAACCAAAAGGTCGGGCTTTAATTTTTATTTATCGTAAGATTTTTATATTATAACATTTATTCGTTTATTTAAAACTTTGATGTTTACATAATTTGTTACTCGTTAGCTTGATTAAATGAGTTTATTAATCTATTTAAAGGATCTTGTTATATATAACATGCACAGAAAAATATCTTAATATAAAAATTGCTTTTAAACACTTTTTTAACGTAGACAAACTTTTCAAAAGTAAGTGTCTAATAGATAAATCCAACTCTCTTTGGATTTAGAAAGTGAGTTAAAACTTCGGAAATTTACAACTTGGTTCATCCTACTCGTTTTAACTCTTACTAATTTCAAGAACTAGATTAGGAAGTGAGTTTTGAAAAAAGAAGAAGAAGAAGAGATATTTAAACAGTTTAATGGTAAAAATAATATAATAAAATGACTGTAACGATTGAAAATTTTTAATTCTCTTAATAAGTTGTAAGAAATTATTGTTTTTTTAGACACTGTAATTCAATCATTATTTACAGTTAGCCACATGAAAATCAATTATGAATTAGTTTTCGAATATATTAGGAATTAGAATACAGCCTTTCGTACATAAAAGGACTAAATAACTTGCGTTTTTTTTTTTCTTTCAAATTTTGGATAGTATTCTTAAGATATTAAAATAAAAGAATAAGTTAAATTAAAATAAAAAACTGCATCTAAATTTTGTTCTTTATTTTTTTATCTTGATTATTCTCTTTTCTTGAATACTTGCAATGTCACTGTTCAAACTTGAGACATTCAATGGTAGCGTGAAGCACAGGTGAGGGGGGAAGACATGCGATGCAATGGCAGATTAGTTCCCGCACAAGGCGGCGTTGCGGGTACGCTGTCTGTAAGCACTGCAACACAAAAACATGACCTTTATCTCTCTCTTTTTCTTTACCAAAAAAATGTGGCCTTTTCACAGGGATGGAATAAATTGAAGGCTTTTATTTTCGTGATGCGGAATGGATAAATAATTATTGAAATATATGTAAATTATTTTAAAAATTTCATTGAAATTAGTATTTAGTTTCTTTTATATAAGTTTAATAATACAGGAAAAAAATGTAGGAAAAAAGTCACCCTTCAATTAAAGGAGAACTGTGATATGAATTGGATTGGACTCCGAAAGAATGATCCTCATCAATGTAAGTGTCAACTGCCTTCGGTAGCATTAATGAAAATAAAAAAAGAGAGAAACAATGCATTTTTTTAAAAATATAAATAACACATTTTTATAATAATTAAAATTTATAAAATAATATAAATCTCTATTTTTATTTAATTAATTTCATTTATAGCTTTACAATTTGAAATAAATTTTAAGTATTAATAACAAAAGGTTATGTATTTAAAGAATGCCTTTAAAGGTATATAGTATATATTTTTTCTTTACAAAAAAAACATTTCCCAGAACTGACACAAACAATTAATAAAGTAGCTACTAGGCAGCAAAGGGGGTCAAGTGTTGTGGAAGTGTAACCTGTTCAAAGTAGTAGCAAAGCAATTAAGCACCTTGCAAGCACAATGGTCGCTGTTGGAAATTGTTGCAGATCATAAACAATAGCGAAGAGAACCATAGCCTTATTATTTTCAAAATATTTCCCTCCATTAAGCTAACTAAAGCCTTGAGGCTAATTGAGGAGACATGGAAATCAATTCAGTTTCAAAGCCACTAATTTTGTTTTTAACGGTCTTGTTTCTGGGTTCTGAGCTGATACACTGCAATGTCACCTACGACAGAAAGGCTCTTCTCATCAATGGCCAAAGGAGGGTCCTCATCTCTGGCTCCATTCACTATCCCCGCAGCACCCCTGAAGTATGTCTCTCATTTTCTTCACTCTTTAGCCTTTTTCTTTTCCTATGTGTTTCATGTTTCTTCTTTTGTTGTTTATGTGGTTTCAGATGTGGGAGGATCTAATTTGGAAGGCCAAACATGGAGGTCTTGATGTCATAGACACTTATGTCTTCTGGGATGTTCACGAACCATCTCCTGGCAATGTACCACTCTGGATCTTCCTCTCTCTATTTGAACCAGCCTCACTAGAAAAAAAATAAATTTTTTTTAGTTCTTTGGTGTTTTTCTGATATTGGGTTGCAGTACAATTTTGAAGGAAGATATGATCTAGTACGGTTCATTAAGACGGTGCAGAAGGTGGGGCTTTATGCAAATCTTCGGATTGGACCTTATATATGTGCTGAGTGGAACTTTGGGTACATATTGCTTCCATAATCCATATGTGTTTGTGTGTGTGTGTGTGTTTAAATCTTTATTGTCTTTCTTTAGATTTCTTGTTTGGTGCTTAGTATGTAGGCTTATTGTGATTGACAATCACATTTTTTAATGGTGTAGGGGAATTCCTGTTTGGTTGAAGTATGTACCTGGCATCAGCTTCAGAACGGATAATGGGCCTTTCAAGGTTGAACTTCAATTTCATTGACACGGTTTCTCCCTGTTGATTCAAGTCTTGGATAATCTGACATTGCCGGTTTTTGTTTTTTAGGCGGCAATGCAAGGTTTCACCCAGAAAATTGTCCACATGATGAAGAGCGAAAAGTTGTTTCAATCTCAGGGTGGTCCAATCATTCTCTCTCAGGTATGTAATTCCTTTCATTCTATGGGTGGCATAAGTGAAGAAATACTCAAAAAACCTTGGAATGAATCAGGCACTCTCGCACATTCATACCAATGAATCACTATTCACTACTTCTAGAGAAAATCTTCAATTTTTTTCTCCACTTGTGTTGTATTTTCTAGATTGAGAATGAGTATGGACCAGAAAGCAGGGCAATGGGCGCTGCTGGCCGTGCATACGTAAATTGGGCTGCAAGTATGGCTGTTGGATTGGGTACCGGAGTCCCCTGGGTGATGTGCAAGGAAAATGATGCCCCAGATCCTGTGGTGAGCCCTCTCATTCTTCTAGTTGACTTCAGTTGTCACACTCCTTCAGAAATAGATTTTATTTGATCTCAAGCTCTTTCTTTAGTTCATCATAATTATGTTGTTACTGAGGGTTGAATATGATCCATCCAATTCTCGATTGCAGATAAATTCATGTAATGGTTTTTACTGTGATGATTTCTCTCCAAATAAACCATACAAGCCTAGCATGTGGACCGAGTCTTGGAGTGGCTGGTAAGCTATATATTGCATTATATTTGAAGTTTGTTCTGTAACTTTATATACAGTCGTCTGAATTTTTTTACCCACTTCTTCTGATATCTTTTTTCTATTCCCCATGACCGCATAAGGTTTACTGAATTCGGTGGCCCAATTCACCAGCGACCAGTTCAGGATCTAGCATTTGCAGTTGCTCGTTTCATCCAAAAGGGTGGCTCTTATGTGAATTATTACATGGTTGGTCACCTATTATTTGTTTCCTAATTTCATGAAAAAGGAAAACTCTCAACTAGTGGAATAAGGCTCGGTTGTTCTTCTTGTTATCACGAAACATATTTTGCCTTACTTTAAAAATCTGAAGTTCGCCTTTGTGTTTAATGACAAATGATAGTACCATGGAGGAACTAACTTTGGACGATCAGCGGGAGGCCCATTCATAACTACAAGCTACGACTATGATGCTCCAATTGATGAATATGGTGAGAAATTCATGCTTTATAATGAGAAGATTCTTTGATTACTTTGGTTGCTGCATGATTCACTGGCATCTATGATTTGTAGATACAGTTTACTGGGCTGTGGATTGCTGTTTTTTTTTAATGAAAACCTAGCATATGAAACAATGTATCGTGATTCTTAAGTTAGAGTATAGATGCAAATGACCTACAAGTCAAATTGACTGCTGTACTATTTTGGTATTTCCTTCTATTATATAGAGCAAACTACATGCATGAATTGTAACTAGATTTTGTTTCCATTAGCTGTGACCTTATGATTAAATGTTATGTATTTATCCATGCTAACCCAATATGAACTCTGTTGTAATTGAGTACTTCACTGTGTTTAGGTTTGATCAGGCAACCAAAGTATAGTCATTTGAAGGAGCTTCATAAAACTATCAAGCGATGTGAACATGCTTTGGTTTCTTCAGATCCCACTGTTGCTTCATTAGGAGTTTTACAGCAGGTAAGTTGTCTGATATAAAGCAGTTACCATCTTCAAGTTATGTGCTTGTTATAATTAATCTTTATGGTGACTAATACCCTCTATTCTCTATGTCCTTGGTGATTTTACAGGCTCATGTATTCTCTTCGCGGACTGGAGCATGTGCAGCTTTTCTAGCAAACTATAATGCACAGTCTGCTGCTAGGGTGACCTTCAATAACCGACACTATGACTTGCCTCCCTGGTCCATAAGCATCCTTCCTGATTGCAAAACTTCTGTGTTTAATACTGCAAACGTAAGAATACTTCACGGGATCTTTTGATGTTATGTGTATCAAGTGTAATGGAAACTTTTGTTGTCCATCAGTATTTATTTGTTATCAACTTTTCCCTTTGCGTCAAGTCATTGACTGGATTGTTACGTCTGCGTGAAGGTGAGAGTTCAAACTTCAAAGGTAAAAATGCTTCCTGTCATTTCTAGGTTGTTCTCATGGGAAACCTATGATGAAGATCTATCCTCTCTGGCTGAAAGTTCAAGGATTACATCTCCTGGACTCTTAGAACAGCTGAACGTTACTAGAGACACCAGTGACTATCTATGGTACATTACCAGGTAAGTTGCTTTTATTTGAAGGTTGTCTTGTTTATTTTCAAACAGTTATCATATTATGACTTAAAATTCTTTTGGACTGTCTGCATAATGATAAAACAACTAAATCCTCAATACCTAATGTAACAGTATGCAGATTCAAGCTGAATAAATTTGCTAGTTTTGGTTTTCCAGAAGTTGCTGAACTTGGACATTTTAGACATATTTCAGTTTTAAATTCTTGGATGGATTCTGTTATTCTACATTCTCAATTCTTAGCGTTTGAAATCTTACTGTTTTGTGGTTGGCATGTTGAAGCATTGACATAAGTTCATCAGAAGCATTTCTTCGAGGAGGACAGAAACCCAGCATTAATGTGCAGTCTTCTGGAGATGCTGTTCATGTTTTTGTTAATGGGCAGTTTTCAGGTATAGATAGACATGCAGTAAAACATTGTAGTTCTTTCTTTTGCCTAGTGATTGATTTGAAAATGAAAGATTTCGTAATTTATTTTACAGGTTCAGCTTTTGGGACAAGGGAACAGAGAAGTTGCACATTTAATGGGCCAATCAACCTACGTGCAGGAGCAAATAAAATTGCACTTCTCAGCGTGACTGTTGGATTACCAGTTAGTACTTTGTATTTTGCTTGTAAATTCAACTGATCTTGATCATTATGTTGCACTGCTTCAAGTGTTTCTATTTGCTTGGTTAATATGTTTGTAGTCACTGATTGATTTTCCTTTTCCTATTTTTCACTGGAAGAATGTGGGTCGGCATTACGAAACATGGAAGACAGGGATCACTGGTCCGGTTTTGCTCCATGGTATAGACCATGGACAGAAAGATTTGACATTGAATAAGTGGTTATATCAGGTCAGAATTCAGATGCTCACAGATCTAACGTGATATATTAAATGCAAAAAGAAAATGTTTTGAAATTAAGATGAGTTCTCTAACAGGTTGGCCTAAAAGGAGAGGCTATGAATTTGGTGTCTTCCAATGGAGTCTCGTCTGTTGATTGGGTCCAAGAGTCACTAGCTACTCAAAGCCGATCACAATTGAAATGGCACAAGGTAAGAACGATTCCAGCTACTAGATTATGTAATATGCCTAATTTGGATAAACTTCTTAAAAAAATTTTATAAGAGAAAAAAATTAATATAAAAAATAAATAAAACTTCTATTATATAATAATTTATCTCTTTGAATTTTAGATAAGTTAAATTTAAACGAGAGTTTTTCAATTTTTTTTCATTTTTTATATTATATTTTTTTTTCTTCTATAACCTATATCAACTAGAATCTTATCATCTACTTCAAACCTACAGGCTTATTTTGATGCACCTGGGGGTAAAGAACCACTGGCTTTGGACATGGGAAGTATGGGTAAGGGTCAAGTATGGATCAACGGGCAGAGCATAGGGAGATATTGGATGACTTATGCAAAGGGTGACTGTAAATCTTGCAGCTATTCTGGGACATTCCGGCCTGTAAAGTGCCAACTTGGTTGTGGACAACCCACTCAACGATGGTACTGCTTTTCTGTAAAAGATAACAGCAAACTTATTTTATGTCTTCAGGAAAATGCTACTTTTTAGAGCCGTTGAACTTGTGTGGTATGTCAGATCAATGTCACGTGCAGGGTGATAAAATAGTGTGCGACGGGTGTCAGTATCGTTACTCTCTAGATATGAATAATGATGATAATAATGCAATGGCCTTCTTTGGTGCAGTGTGTCGGATCCAATGTCACTATGTATTATTATTATTTTTTTTATGAGGCCAATGATGGAGGAATGACATTTAACCGCTTTCTATTTGGAAATTTCGCAGGTATCACATTCCAAGGTCCTGGCTAAAGCCAACCAAGAACTTGATTGTAGTGTTTGAAGAATTAGGTGGGAATCCGTGGAAAATATCTTTGGTAAAGAGAACGGTACATACTCCTGGAGTTCGTGAGTAGTGAACCCAATTCAGAGAACTAAAGAACCTGAACAAGAATAATTTAGTTTCCACCTGTGAATTCTCTCTGTGGCTTTCGTTTGCATTGGTTGAAGCAAGGGTAGCTTTGACACATTAAGTTATCATAACTTGGCAATAAATCAGCATCTGTCGGTGCGTGGCATTTTTCAACGATCGGGGTTAGACGTGTTAATCCTTATTTATGTGATCGAAATGGGTCACCGTGATTGATACAAATGGGTTGCCAAGATGATTTGTAATCTATTCGTTTCGACAAGTCAATGTATCTACTTTTTTCAAGAGAGAAAATTATCTTCGACGGGTGTCTTCGTTCATTTATTTCCATTTTGTCTGCATACGCAAGTATGTTTGTAATTGCCATTCAATCATCTACGTATCGTTAGTTTCAATCACTATCAGCCGCAGTTTAAGCTATTGTAATAAGGCTACCATTTATGCACGCGATCCTCATTGTTGACCCCCATATGATTATGGTATTTTAAGGCCCCGGCAGCATCTTCGACTAATGTCGTATAGCATCCTCTTGTTATTGCACGGCCCCGCCATCTTGCCACTAATTTACTTTTCTTTAGGAGGGTTTGCATGGGCTCCACAACCTAATCAATAGCGACTGACTATAGAGTGAGTGAAAGAGAGTACATGTGAACTTGTGCAGTAAGTCTGCCTAGAAAGCGGATGCTTGAAATGTAGTGATCATTGTAACTAGATGAAGTCCCTCATTTGCAATAACCTTAAAATTTTCTTGTGAAACTCGGGTTAAAATTTGGCACGACTTCGTATTCAAAATTTGTATTTGACTCTCTTGATAGTATTAATAAGAGAGCTTAGTTGATGCTTATCAAGAACGATACAAAAATCGTTGACATGTTAAGAGGGATCAATTCTTGTCATGTACTAACAGTATCTTGCCTCCTCTCTGCATCATTTATGTCGAACTCCCTAGCTTTTTCCACTATAATATATTGCCATCGTGCGTCCAAGTATTGGTTTTCCTTTTAAAATTTTTTGTTGCTTTGGCGTCGACGCGTCGTCACTTCTGCCGTGGTTCTCATTGATAATATCGTATATCACGTATGACCCGTCCGATTGTGTTAATCTCTACTTCAACTAAATTCTGATAATTATCGTTAGTTCCTAGTGTTTCTAAAAAATATCAAAATGAACATTTTTTAAAAACCAAGCATGATCCCTTACCTCTTAAGCTCCCAAACATACCTAAAGTTCTAAAACCAAACTGTTTGATTCGAAGGGCAGGAACTTCAAATCACAGTGCCACCGTTATAATCCATAACTGATTAACACTACTATAGAGAACGAGGATACCTATTTCTGCTTTTGAGCAATTAATAAAAATTACAAATGTCACAGTTACAAATGTCACAGCAACTATAAAAGAATAACGCACAAAGCTGAATATTTTTATAAACCGTCAAGTTGGTTGCTAATCTTGCTAGTTTCATAATCAAATGCATTTCAAGTACGATTGTGCAACAATTTCATTTACACATACTCCGACTCCAAACCCACACTGAAATCACGCAAGCTGATACAGAAATAGCTAATTGCAAACTGACTCGAAAACAATAACTTATTATTCTCAACATATTCATACGACACTTCAAGCAGCAGCAGTAGCATGTTTGCTTATTGTGAGTTGCAGCTCCTCCTTCTTAGCACCCACAACCTTGTCCACCAGTTCGCCTTCTTTCAAGAACAGGAAGGTTGGCATAGCCTCAATGCTCCACTCCTTAGAAACAGACTGAAGAAAAACCAAGGTGATTGGAAGATTCTTATTTAAGGAAATAGTCCTCAAAACACTTCGAGATTTAGGATTAGAAATAAAATGAAGTTATGATGAAGATTCAGGTATACTCACTTCCATTTCATCCACATCCACCTTGAGGAAGACTACATTCGGCAACTTCTTAGCAATCTCTGCTAGAATTGGGGCAATGAAACGGCATGGGCCACACCAAGAAGCAGTAAAATCCACCACAATCTATTCATGTAATTCCTTTCAATATTTTGCATTTGTTTATAATTGAAAAAAGAGAGGGGGGGGGGGGGGGAGAGTTGAGAAGATAAACAATTTTAAAGAATCATAATCATACTAACAATACCACAATCTTCAATAACTTCAATAACAGACGAAATTGATTTTAAGAAAAGGCAGGCAGTTTAAGAATTTTAGAACAAAGGTGCAACTTCAGGATAATAGAAACATTAAAACTAATTATAGATTTCAAATAGTAAATACTGTGACTATGCATTACCATCTTTTGTAGAACATTAAGTTCATCCATCAACTGGTAAAAGCTGATAATTTCGCGTCGATTAATTTGAAAAACATGACAACATAGCAGCATAGTAATGCACGCAACAAACACCATCATGATGCAAAATGAACAATCCTAGAAGAATCTAGAAATGATATGGCCCGTTTCCCCTTTCGAAGTCAAGAGGGTAAACGAATTTAAAAACCCTAATGCGCTTATAATTCTACAAATCAACAAGCTACGAGGAAAAAAAATGAAAGAGCAAGTTTAGGGGTAATAACCAGTTTCTTGCTCTCCTTTCCCTTCTCCAGATGTCCCTTCCACTCATCCACGGAGTGGACACCGATCACCTGTCCCTCTTCCGCCATTCTTCTCTTTCTTCCACACTATCGATTAAGCTTTTCCTTCAAATTTTATTAGCTGTGAACGCTAAGAAGGCCCCTGCCTCTTATATAGGATTTTCGGATCGTTGTGGTTTCTTATTAATTTTTTTTTACCAAAACATATATAAAATTTGGTCTCACGCGCTCCTTGCGTGTCCACACTACGTGACGCAAGGCCACATGTCAACGGGCATTGTGTGGTGACTCATCATCACCCATGACATAAGAAGAAGAGGCGCGTCAAGTCCGAACGCCAACCAGAGAGAGTCAAAGACTGCAAATACTGGTCTCCAAGACGTGTCCAATTCTTTATAACATGGGCCAAGGTTAAGCCCATGAGGATGGTATTGGGCTTTATCTCCCGCGCCCAAAACATAAAAAATTTCCACGTGGAGAATCCAGAACCGCGAACAAAAATTTCTGGTATCCTCTACTTAATCATTATTATTATTATTATCTCATCCACATACACATAGTCTTGGCTTGTGGTTTAAACTTTAAACCACCAGATTTAACAAATCTGACTCCATCCACGTCTCGTCTATTCGATATATATATTTTTTAATTTTATTTTTACACGCATTTGATTTCAGCTAAACGAGTGATTACAGTGGGAGTGTGTGGGGAGTAGTGTTAAGTATTAACAATACAGTAAGCACATAACTCTCCCATTAATTTCTGTTCTCTCTCTTCCAAATTTAGTATTGGAAATGGCATTCCCACAGCTCATTCCTACTTCGCCTTCTTCTTCGTCACTACCTCACAACCCCTACTTAAACCCCATCAGGCTCTCCGCATACCGCAGATTCCCCTCCTCCACATCGCAGAATCTTAATATTCTCCGCCGCCGGCGCCGGAAGCTGAATTCCGTTCTCCGGTGCTCTGCCTCGTCTTTCTCGGAGAAGCACCACACAAACTCCCCCAAGTCCGACGACTTGGTGGAGCTCCCTCTCTTCCCTCTCCCGCTGGTCCTCTTCCCCGGCGCCATACTTCCGCTTCAGATCTTCGAGTTTCGCTACCGCATCATGATGCATACTCTCCTCCACACCGATCTCCGATTCGGTGTCATCTACACTGACTCCGTTTCTGGAACTGCCGACGTAGGCTGCGTCGGCGAAGTCATTAAGCACGAGCGCCTCGTGGACGACCGGTTCTTCCTGATCTGCAAAGGCCAGGAGCGGTTCCGCGTGAGCAACGTGGTGCGCACGAAGCCGTACCTGGTGGCGCAGGTGACGTGGCTGGAGGACAGGCCTTCATCGTCTTCGAAGGAGGTGGATGTGGAGGGTTTGGCGAACGAGGTGGAGACTTACATGAAGGACGTTATTCGGTTATCGAATCGGTTGGGAGGGAAGGCGGAGAAGGAGGTTGGGGATTTGAGGAGGAACTTGTTTCCGACGCCTTTTTCGTTCTTTGTTGGGAGCACGTTCGAGGGCGCTCCGAGAGAGCAACAAGCGCTGCTTGAATTGGAGGACACCGCCTCAAGATTGATGAGGGAGAAGGAAACCTTGAGGAATACGCTTAATTATCTAACTGCTGCCTCTGCTGTCAAAGACGTCTTTCCTTCTTCTTCTTCTTCGTCCTCTTCTTCTTCTTCTTCCTGACGCAATGCGAAGGTATTGTTGTTTTCTTGTAACTTGATCACAATGGCATTCGCAGAAACATTGAGAACAAAGAAAGTTGTAAATCCTTCTCGTGGGTAATCTTATGTGCTCAACAATCCTCTTTCTTAAGCGCATAATTTTAAACACTGAGACTACTGTTGTAATTTAAAACAATAGTTAGTGACTTAGTGGTTATACTATTGTACGGAGTTGTAAGACGTTTTTGTAACTTGTTGTATGTATTTTGATCATCAAAATCCGCCTCCTTATTGTTCATGGGAACTTAAGGGCCTGTTTGTTTTACTTTTGGAATTCCGTTTGTACACTTTCCGAAGTTAGCTTTCATATACAACAGGCTGTAATGATTGAATGCGGAAATAATTGGATTCAGTTTGAGGGATAGATTCATGAACCTTTGTGTAAAAAAATGCTTGGTTTCCCTGTCTGATTCGAACAATTGTTTAACTATGGGTTGAATTATCATTGGGGCCATCAGATAGCATACCAATCAGGCTCTGGCTTTATTTTAATTGTTCTGGATTAGTTTCGGGTGGCGTCTTCACCTGATTTTATTGGTTTCCAATCTCTGTTATTCGCTAGACCGGGATTTAGATGGTTTCTATTGTTTTGGTTACTTACGTTTGGTGACAACTTGGGCATTTTTATACAAAAGCTTGTATAAAGAAACATAGATAGTTGATAGTTTCTGTCAATTGCGGAAATATTAAAAGGGCACAAGAGCCTTTGATATTTTTCCTACCTTTTTCCGCAGAAATTACACGCTGCTTTATACGTTCTTTCATTATATAATTTGGTTGTTCAATGAAACATAAAAACTCACTTGTGCGTGTGGCATTGTTCTGCCTGGTAAAATAATGCTATTGAAGTTCTAAAATCATTCCGTGAATTTCATACAAAATATACATGGTATTAGTAAAATAATCTTGATGAGTGAAAAAGTGGAAGGGATACATTTTGGAAAGAAGTTCCCTTCAAAACTCGGTAATTAGATGTGTGACATCAACATTATTGTCCCTGGAAACATTATTTTTTTTATAGGCATGTTTAATTTATGTTTTGCAAATTTTAGTTTGATAAAGTGGAAAGACTTTCTTTTCGAGTATGGTGTGAGACGAAATCTAATAATTACGGGAAATATAACTATTTGATGATAAACTTTTGAGTTTTTATGCATAATCTGATCAAAACTCTCATTTAGTATGTAAAATGTATAATTTGATTAAAGTTAGTCATTAAAATTTAAAATTTTAATATCTAATTAACAATTTACATTAATTTTTGTTGTTAAGAGAAATTAAAATTGAATAATAAAATTATTATTTATCATGTTAAATGACATATAAACTTTAAAAATAATTCATTTTCATTTCTAACTTTGCAAATAACAAAGTTTTTCTTTGTCTATGTTTTCGCTTCATAAGTGAGAACTTTGAAGATACTAATAAAATCAGTCTTAAAGTGACAACACTACTGTTAACTTTAACAAGAAATAGATCATGTAAATAAATAATTTTTTCATTTACAACAAAAAAACTCCAAAGAAAATTTGATAATTGATGTCACTAGTAATTGAGATGTCTCACATGTAAAACTTTTATTGAAATGATTAAAATTGTTATATACTCATAAATTTGAGGCTTAGATATATTTATTCAAGTAAGAAAACTCAAGACAGAGAAGTTTTGCAACGTAAATGCTTTTGCAAAGATAGTTGGAAAAAGATGCCATGAAAAAGGCGAAGCATAAGCGCAAAAATATGAAAAATCAAATACTAAAATAAACTATTTTTAAAAGATTATATAACAATATTGCTATGTGTCATTTTAAATAACAAATAATCGTTCTGTCATTAAATTTTAATGTTTCTTAACGATTATTAAATTTAGAAACTAAAATTTGAAATTTAAACAATAAATTTAACAATACTGCATATTTTAAAAACTAAAATAAAAGTTTATTTATAAATAATGAGTAACTTAACTTATTCAAGTCATCACTACCATTAATATGTCCTACTGTCGGGAGTTTGAACAAATGCAATTTCTCGTACAGGCTCTAACTGGGGAGTGGGTTGTTCCTTTCGGCAGTATCTGCGATCTCCGAGTCCTTATCTTAATCTAGTCCTACGAACTTAAGTGATCGCATGAATTGTCTTAATGAGTCACATTCGTGTTAACTATATATGCTAATAAAACTGAGTAGTACATAACAAAACATACATGTGTTCCTCTGTAATACAGTAATATTACATTAGAGTTGTACGTGCATTCCCTATTGTCCCCCCCCTTTCAATGTCCCTATATCATAGCGAATATAATCCATTCGACAAAACTTGTTTCCTTTTGAACCCTAGTCAGCTGCTAGAAATAGAATAAGTCGATAATACATATAGGATTGCTACTAGAATGACTCAACCATAGAGAAGTAGAAAATAAATCCTTATTGAGATTTCCAACCTCTTTGATTGCGGGAAAAACCTTGGTTCTCTTGTGCCATTGTTGTTGTCCCATTTGCAATTCTCTGGAAGTATACAGACATTCAATAAGCATTGTTTTTTATTAAAAAAAAAAATCAATGTTAGTAACATATTTTTACAATATACTGTATCTATCACATTCTCTATTATTTGGAATATGAATAGAGTATGTTATTAGCATTTCTTGTAAAACATTGCAGCCAGCAGCCAGCTTACGATTGTTGAATTGAAATGAGATTCGATTAGAACAAATGCATAGATAAATTCATTACCCAGTTTGTGCACAACATTGGATCATTTACTTATGACTAGTATAGGTAAGAAGTTCATACAACCTTAAGACATTGGGCCTTTCCTGTATCACAGATAGGATAATCTTGGGGGCAGCAGTGGCGCTTGTCTTTACAACATACAGCAGAAGTTAACCCACAGCATTTCCATGAAAAGCATATTCCAAGAAGGCGCTTGGCACAGCAACATGTTTCCCCTTCTCCACAGTGAGTAAACAGATTACATTTTACAGGACCTGGAGGTGGTGGGACAGGTGGATTAGGTTTGGTCTTGGTAGGATATGAAGCTAACGTGTTGATTCCACATATCCCTTTGGAATCGCCACTGTTTCGTTGCATGTGTATGTAACCATTCATTCCCCAACCTCTCCCCCATGAGTTCTTTACAATCCAATAATCAACTCCATTTTCTGAACCATATCCCACTATCAATACTGCATGATCAAGAGAAGTTGAACATGGCCCGGTGAAGATACCCTAATACAGAAAAAGAACAGCATCATATAAGATACATGATACAAATATAAGTTGATACTAAAATTGACCAGGGACCAACCTTTGAGTACAATTGGAAAGCTCTTTCACTACCACATATGCCGACGCTTACAGGCTGTGATGCAACAGCCTTTAGTACCTCTTTCTCACTCGGAGGCACATCAACATAATCATCAATTGTAACAACACGCCTTTTTAACTGTAGAATAGACGCAGGGTAAAAAAGGTGAACACAGACAACTATACTAATCTCGGCAAAACAAATGAAACAGAAAAAGAGAAAAAAAGCAAGACAATATGATTAACAAGCACGAGCACCCTATTTGAAATAGCTTATAGTCTTTTTTTTTTTAACTTATTTTAATAAATTCCTTAGTACAACTTATTAAAATAAGTTATTTCTAGCTTATCCTAGTAAGTTTCATGATTGAATTTACAAAGTAAGCTATGATTTTCAAAAAAGCTTATTAAACAAATGCTTAATTAACATTGTAACTAAACGTACGCATACTAACATAACTTAAGAATTCATCATTTTGGAGGGGAAGTGGTAAATGAAACAAATACCTTGTCCTTGCTGCAAGAGCGTTGGCGAGCTTGATATGGATAATCTTCTTCAGTGTCAATCCCGCGGTTGTCTATGACAAATTGATACGCATAGTCCATGAGTCCACCATCACAACCGCTGTTGTAGGACGTATCACAATCTATGAGCTCTTGCTCAGAAAGGCTTGCAAGAGACCCCGTCACAATCTTATTTATACCCTCAATAGCACCCGTAGCTGAGAACGCCCAACAAGCACCTACATAATACACATCTCCCAATTGTCACTCACTCAATTACATCATGCATCTATATACATTCACTCTCTACAAATTGCAATCATAATTTAAAGTTAAAAAAGTAAGAATAACATGTCATGAAAAATCATGATGAATACTTTTTGGAAACAAATTGCTGGTGATTATAGAGTTTAACTATGATAGTATACATTAAAATACACTGTACATGTAAATTTTTAAAAAACATAAAAGTACAGTGCGTTTTAATTAAATTATTATCAATATTAAGAAAGTGAAAATTTTTAATAGAAGATAGGTAGTACCACAGCTTCCTTGGTCTTTGACGGGGGTAACTGCGCCACTTTGTCTCCAATCGATCTGAGAAGGAAGGTGTAGAAGGTGATGGGATGGTTGATTCTGAACGCGTTTGAATCCAAGGAAGGAAGGGGGTAAACCGAGACGAGAGGTTTTGAATTCGTGGTGGGTGAGATCGGCGAAAGCGTTGAGGGAGAGGGTGTAGGTGGAATTTCCCTTTTGGTTGTGTTGGGAGACAAAGGCATAGTTTTCCTCGAACACTTTGAGCCTGTAACGTTTTTCCTGTTCCGAAGAGTATGTTTTGGCATGTTGCTGGCACCAGGTTTCGAAGAGTTCGGAGGTGTCGGAGGAAGAGGCGAGGGACAAAAGTGCGGAAAGGAAGAACAAAGGTAGGATTTGTAAAAGAGGATATAAACAAGTCATGTTCATGGTTTTGGCTTTCGAGACAAAGCTCAAATCCAATTCCGAAAAAATAGGGACATTCAAGTGTGTGTTACCTGCCTTTGCCTTTCCCCTTATTCTTTTCTATTATGTGGATGGATCATGAATATTGGATCTCAACTCCGCACCCACATAATATCAATATTTTAACAACTTCCCAACTATAGTCTCTATATATATGAACAACTATATCCACTAATTTTTCTCACTGTTTGTCTCAAAATTGGACAAGTGTACCCGCATTTTCTGCATTATATTGTCTAATGCCGCTCTTATTTAATTCTTTTTTACATTGATTTTTAATAATTAATTTTATTTTTAAATTGAATGATTGAATAAATGTATTTTCAATATCATTTTTTTCGTTAATATAATAAAGAAGTACTGGCGTGGACTTTTTTATTGATTTTAAAATATTAAATATTTTATTATTTTTAATATAATAAATAAACTGTTATTTTCAATATATTAAATAATTTCAACTTTTTTTAAAAAAGGAGACTTTGTTTCTAATCAAAATTGTTATGTTTTATTTTCTATTGACGTTACTTTTTTTTTCTTTATTTTCTTTTATGATCTCAAGAGACTTAATAAAAAACTCATTAAAATATATTAAATTTTATTAAAAAGAGAAAATAAGTTATTACAACATGAATGAAAGGTAAAAAAAAAAAAGGAAAGAAAAATTAGAAAATGAGATAATTTAAAATTTCACTGAAATATATTATATATTTACTAAAATTTATACAAAATAAAAGAGACAAGTAATAATTTTAATAGAGTTAATATTTTTTATTAAAAATAATTTATTTAAAATATTTTTGACAGTTAAAAAATTAAATTAAAAAAATTAAATGATTAAACCAAAATAAAAATGAGAGTTAAGAAACTAATTCATTGATTTAACATAAAATAAATATAAAAAAATATACATTATTTATATTTTTCAAATGAGGTCACAGTACAATTTTTTAGAACCTAAAAAATTGGAAAAAAAATCTAAGAAAGAAACAGTTAAAAATTGACAATTTTATTATGAATTATTTATCTCGAGAAACAATTAAGAAATAGATAAAATATGTCCAACGCTATATTTAATCAAACTTGTTTTTCTCATTTTTTTTTCAATCAAACAAGGGGACTTTTTTTTCTTAAACTAAATAATTTAAAATTTTAATCTTTTCCAATTTAAAAAAAAAATCTTCCTTTTTTCTTTATTTCTTTCATTACGAGAGGGGCATTAGGTTGAGTCACGTGCAGGCGGTCCGGCTCAGCAGCGAAGAGGAGGTGAGAGGCACGTGGTAGAGTTGAGTTGAGATTGAGAATCAACAGTCAGAGACGGTGGCGTGACGCTTGAATCGGATCGTCCTCTGCTGTAGCCACCGCAGCCCAACTTCCTAACTGCCGCCACTTTTTGGTTTCCACTCCTCTCTTCCATTTCCACTAAACCATGGACCTCGATCCTCGTCAATACGATAACGTTGTATGTTTCTCCATCTTCTCTTTTTAACTTACGATTATTTCTTCAATTTACTTTTTCTGATTTTTAAATTACCGCAGTTATGTCCTCAATTTGTCATATTCTAATCACATAACTAACTAATAATTTCCGTCCTCCTTTCAATTTCTTTTGGTCTTCTTAACCAATTTTCGTCCATGTTAGTTGTTGATTGAGAACTCGACCGGAATGTATGTATTATTAATGTGGTTGTTGTCGTTGCCCCCTTGTTTCTCCGAAGATTTAATTTATGATAAACGATTTCTCACTCTCAGCGAAACCCTTGAGCCGCGACGACAAATATTTCAATTAATTATTTTCTGAAAGATATTTCCCAACCCTAATTTCGGATGGCAAAAATTAAGCCAAGTAGGGAACGGAAAATGAAATATAATCTGCACATGAATTACTAATTATCTGCGTCATTAAGATTTCGGTCTTGCCAATTAGTACCCTTAGGCATTGGTGTATAAATAATTGGAAGTGAAAAGTTCTTATTGAAAGTTACACTAGACAAAGAGGTGTATTTATTATATTTTCTGTCAAAAGAATTTTCACTTTTAGTTCCTTATCTGGTGGCTTAATTTGCATTTGCGTTAAAATTTTCTCCTCACTTTCTTTGGGGAAAGAAAACTTAATTGAACTGAAGTTGAACTTGTGTAGTATGCTCTGTTGGGTTTCTAATTGAGATTATTGATATCCTAGTTGCATTGATCCTCTTGCCATAATTAATGTGATTAAGTTCCATATCTTTTTGTGCCGCTTGAATTTACAGGCTATAAATGATAATGACATCCACAATGTTGTTCTGTCATATCTTATACATAATTGCTATAAAGAATCAGTGGAGTCATTCATTGCTTGCACCGGGATGAAGCAGCCAGCAGATTATTTGGAGGACATGGAGAAAAGGAAAAGTAGGTTTTCTGTCATATTTCAGTATAGAAGATTAATTCAGGATGTTTTGTTGCTTCCTGATCATGTTTTATTTGCTTGCTCTTCCTAGGAAGTTTAGTGTACACCAAGCATTCATTCATAACCACTCTTGTAAATTTTGCATCATCTACAAATGCACATTGGAATAGTCAACCCCGACTTGGCGGATGCTGAACTATTAGTTCGCTTTATTACTACTTTAAACGTCTGCAGCTCCTTGGAATGACCGGCTGACTTTTGTCTTAAGGGTGCGATTGGGTACACAGGGTTTATATCATAAATTTGACTCTGCAACTTACTGAAATGAGTTTAAAAAAAGCTTATTTTGATAACTAAGAAGCTTATTGAAATAAGCTGAAGAGATCTTATAAGAGTTATAGATTTATAAGCTAATTTCATTAGCTCTTCTAAACTCCTCTCAAATAAATTTGAGTTGTGATTATACTTTTTTCTTGTGCATCCTTTTTACTATTTTAAAATATCAATTGGGCTTTTCTTGACATTTTTTTATTTCTTGCCCTGCAGTCTGCGGGGTAGAGGGTGCTGGGAAATGCCTCTGATACCTATGAAGTTAATTGACTTTCTATTATATCCTATTACAAGTAGTAAAGACCTTCTTAATGTTATATTTGATTTTTCTTCAGGAATCTTTCACTTTGCACTAGAGGGAAATGCACTTAAGGCTATTGAGCTTACAGAACAGCTGGCGCAGGATATTCTAGAGAACAATAAGGATTTGCAGTTTGATCTTTTAAGCCTTCATTTTGTTGAGCTTGTCTGCTCCAGGAAATGGTGAGCAGAAATTAGTTTTGTCTCCAAGAGAATATTTTGTAAACTTCCTGCTTTCATAGAATCTCATTTTATTGGCAGCACAGAAGCTTTGGAGTTTGCTCAGACCAAGTTGAGCCCTTTCGGAAAGGAGCACAAATATATGGAAAAGCTCGAAGTATGATTGCATTTTGCATGGCTTTTGTGATGTGTGTGTGTTTGTAGGTGTGTTTACACGTGCTTAAGACTGAATAAATATTAAGCTGCCAATGTTGCAGGACTTTATGGCCCTTCTCGCTTATAAGGAGCCAGAGAAATCCCCGATGTTTCATCTCCTCAGCTTAGAGTATCGACAACAGGTTGCAGATAGTTTGAATCGAGCTATTCTTGGTTAGTTAAATTTATATCTACATGTTTCTTTATGTTTAATATATGTCATTGCAAATCTTAATGCTTATTTCTACCCACGTTAAGTATATGAATTTTTTTTTCATCATGGATGGTGGGTAATTGCCAGCACACTTGAACCTTCCCAGTTACACAGCAATGGAGAGGCTAATACAGCAGGCTACTGCGGTAAGACAATGCTTGAGTCAAGAAGCTGGCAAGGTAATGGGACTTAGCTTACCGAAATTGAAATTTATTCAAATTTCTGTCTTAAGTAAGAAAACCTTTGATTCCTCGTCTCTTTTTGGACCAGGACACACAATTTTTGCATAATTGCAAAAGTAGATGTAATTACTATATTATGCTTATGCACAAATTACCGAGGGTCAAACTGATTCTTTCATTACTTTGCAGGATGGGCCCCCACCATTTTCCTTGAAGGATTTTCTCAAAAGTTGACGGAGAATGAAGGATTTTCCTTGAAGGATTTTCTTAAAAAATCCACGGACAGCTGTGGAATGAAGCAAGTTTACCTTAAGCCATTGTTGGCAGACGTTGGATTGGTGTATGATTTGATCTTAGGTGTGAAGTTTGTCGAATGCCTGTTCATCTATAAATTCTTTGTTGTCAAGCTATCTTGATCTTTTTGGTCTTGCTGCACTTTTGTGAGGCAGGAGTGATTCATGAGTGAACATGGCGAAAATTGTAATTATTACCAGATTGAGATAATCCTTCCTGTCTGTCGCAGTTGACCACTGTGGCCTGGTGTCGTGTCATCTGTCATAATTTTCTCTAATTTAGATTATTTTTAATCCATTGCAAGGTTGGGCAGACACATATAAGCATCATAATTTCCCTTAGTTTAGACTTTTTTCAATCCATCGAGAGGTTGTGCAGCCAAAGCCAAGGATATATATTTGATGTAAAATGCATCTGCATCCACATGTACGTGGATATGAAAGGAAAGTTGAAGACAATTTTAGTGTTTGTGTGACTTCCTTCTCTTGTGTGTTGGAATTATCAACGTTTTGGAATATTTCTACACGTTGGGTGTGTACAAAAGCAATGTCTGATTTAAATTTTTGTAGGTATTATATGCTTATCTTTTTATTTTGTATTCTTATTTTAATATTATTCTTAGTATTTTGGTGGGGAGGCCTATCCATATTTGTGACCTTAATTAAGCACACAAAATATGTTCTGGCACGCACTAATTCCATTCAATATCATGTCATTTAATTGGATGATATCTTTCGAGGACTACATCGGTCATGTCTAAAGAAGCAACTACCTCGAAGGTCAAGCGGGAGATCCTGAAAAACACCCCTAAAAGCTTTGCCCACTGTCTCTAGTATAATTATGTTGCTTAAACCAGTAATTGATTCAGTTACGATTAGACACAACCTTTACACTCATGAAGCAATTCTTGGTAAATTACAATCACAAGGAAGAAAAGCTAAGGGATTCTGATAGATCACTTGTCCTTATTATCGACTAGGGAGATGAAGGAATATGTGACTGTGCAGACATGGAGGGTAGTAATGGGAATTTGAGCCTCACAATTGCACGATTAATGTTGGACACTTTGGTCATTCCGGTGCCTGCAGCTTGTGAATTACAAGTAGATTGTGACTTTTATTGAATAGACTTTTCTAGTGTTCTGTCAAAGAGATGGAAAATTATTAAACAAAATTCGAATCTGAAACGTTCTGCGTCTCCATCCTTATCGGTATGTGGCTGTCTGGAGTCTCCAGACTAGACAACTGCCATAATAGAATATCCAAGAAAAACAATTCTGCTTTCTCTTATGTGACAAGGACAATAGAAAGGGAATTAATTGAACAAATTTAGAACAAGTAGTTCACTGTTACACATGTTCATCCTTGTTTCAGTGGGCAAAGAATTTATTTACAAAAAATGAAATTCATAATTACTTATATTTCGATATACTTTCTTCTGGTAAATACAAGGTAAAATTATTAAGTCAGAAATATACTTCGGAATTATTATGCACTTCTGCACCTGCTTTGGACTTTGCAATGGTGTCTAAAAGCCTTAGAAGTAACAGGTGATGAAATATGGATGTAGATCTATGTTCAAGTTTACAAATTACAACTAATACCCAATATAATTTAAAACAAAAAACAAAAAAGTAACAGGTGATGAACAAAACTTTAGAAGTAGTGGTTTTGAAACCTCGGTTTGGGTGAAAGGAAACGTGTTGGCATACTGAGTCTCCACCTTCCCCCCCTTCCCCCTCGCTGGGCTCTGTCCATTGGATGATATGCTTCAGTTTGTTTGTGAATTAAGTGATGCAAAATGAAGAGTGATGCAAATTACAGTCCTACCTATATAAATCATGAAATCCCGCAATTCATATGGTAATAAATACCACTAAATAATAAAGTCTGCTTATCTCTCGGTTACTCCCTATCTAGTCTATTCATTCACCGCTAGATTTGTTATTAATGCTTTGGCTAAGATGGGTGGGGCTATCAATATTCCAATAGCATCAACGGTCCTCTTTTGTGATGACAACAATTTAGTTGAGTCCTTCTCTACATTATTTGTTTGTATTGGAAGGTGCTTTCTGAGGATGTTCTGCACAATTCAATTTATATGGACTTCTGAGCAAGTGTTGCTAATCTTAACCGAGGGGTGGGGGAGGGAACCTTGGTCTCTTTTCTTCCTCTACCCACGAAACGACAAAAAAAGACAAGGGCACTACCTAGTACTACTAGTGCTATGAACCTGAACAATAATATTAAAATTAAAGGGATGTACAACGCCGATCAGTTTCGGTAAACTCGTAGTCGTGTCCCATTTGGTACTTGTGGTGTCTCAGTCCATTGGATCTAGTTTCTCTCTTTTTTCTATTCACTGATTCCCAAGCCCTTTCCTTGAAACACCTAGGATTGTTTCATCCCACGTATGAACCCTTTGCTCTAAATGTTGTCATGTGCGTAGTTTTGGAACCCCCGCAAGCACTTATCTTCAACCGTTTCCCTCCCAATGACACCGCCCCCACCCAATGGTAAATGACTTATCCAAATTTTAATTATTTCTATAAACCCACAAAATACCCATTATCCAGACAACCGCCTACTCTCGTCCACAACTTTAATTTTCTTTAATACTTTCTCCTTTTTTATATTGTTTTTTTATTTCGCACCCTTCTCATCCATCACAAAAAATCTCTCGCAATTAGAAAATATGAAATGGTAAAAATGAAGTAAGAACTTGGTTTGGTCTTGGCCGTTTGCCACCTGAGCTAGTATGCCAACAAAAGCGCAAGCCAAGTGTATATAAGAGAAATCAACAGTGAGGCTTACTGTGGACACGATCTGTCTGGCTCATAATGCCAAGTAGCATTGTAGGCCCACTATGGGCCACGTTCCAGGTTCAGGTATTTGTATGTAGCATTTACCCTCTTCTTCTTTGCCTTGTTTTTTCAATATAAATACCACCTATCAACTCATCTCCTCTTTATGCCCTTGTGTTTATCTCTACTTTTGTAAGTCCTTCAGGATTAGTCACAAACCTCCATAGCCCACCAACTCTTGTTACTGTGCTACCAAATTAACAATCACAATGTTGAAATCAAGCATGAGAATTGATGAGAAAAAGCAGCTGAAAAAGACAGCACAGGCCAGCTCCAGGAAGGGTTGCATGAGAGGTAAAGGAGGCCCTGAGAATGCAAGTTGCACCTACAAAGGTGTGAGACAGAGAACTTGGGGGAAATGGGTTGCTGAAATCCGTGAACCCAACCGTGGTGCACGCCTTTGGCTTGGGACATTTGAGACCTCTCATGAGGCTGCTTTGGCTTATGATGCTGCTGCACGTAAGCTTTATGGCTCAGATGCCAAGCTCAATCTACCAGAGCTCTCTGTGTCAATGCAACCTCAGTGTCCACCATCTTCTGTTACCATTCCAATGGAAAACATGCAGCAGCCTCAAATTCAAAACAACTTAGAAATGGTCACTTATCCTAGTTTCAACACCAATCCTGCACTTTCCATGGCTTCTCAACAAGTAGGAGTTGGACCAATATACACTAGTGACTCAGTTGTGTCTCTTCCCTTGGATTCCAACCCTAATCCTGTTGAAACTTATCCAAAACCCATGGAGAATGAGGGGGAGTTCTGTCCCTCATGGGGAACTATGACCAACGAGGGTTTGCCAGTTTTAGATGAGTCCATTTGGGCTGAAGCTGCTATGTCCCTAGATTTTCCTATGATTCCAGAGGTTGAAATTTACCCGACGGGAAACTTGGGAGATGCGAGTCTGTGGGACTCTATGCAAACTCCATGGTGCATGTAATTTGATCGAGTTGATTGAACTCTCAAGGGCAAGAGAAACTATCAAGTATACCACATAATAGCCTTTCTTCTCAATTCTCATGTCGTATGAACTGCTGTCCGGTTTTCATATAAAGTGTATATATGAGGGTAAGTACGATGTAAAGAAAGACATATATGATACCCAATCAAAACTAGCTTATGGCTAGATATAAGATATATCATATAAAACTATAATAGTGTGTCTACCGTGTTGAGTCTATGGAAGGCCATGATCTCGTGATTATTTAGCACACATGGTTCTTCTTTTGTAGTAATATTATATTATATATCAATGTTTTGTGTCGTCCGTTTGTCCGATCAGTTCGTTTGTCCGATCGGTTCGGTTGTTGATCTTCGTCGCTCCTGTGCTATAGTAATAATATTATATGTAAATGTTACGTAATATGGTCGCAAGTGTTGCCCTCTTGCTAGGTTATCGATCTAATAGTATTATATGTAAATGTTACGTAATAGGGTAATGGTCGAAGTATTGCGCTCTTTCTAGGTTATCAATCAGTCTCCTGTGTTATGGTCGAAGTGTTGCCCTCTTTCTAGGTTATCAATCAGTTACCTGATATTGTAATAGTATTATATGCAAATGTTACGTAATAGTGTTATGGTTGTGGCGCCTTCTAGCTAGGTTATCAATCAGTCACGTTGCCTTTGGGCAACTCGTTTCACATATGTCAATAAAGATGTACTTATTTGTACGTATTATATAAAATAATGTTGCATATAAAATGTATTATTGGAATAATTTATGCCTACTGTCTATCTTTGTTTAAGTCATTTTTGTTTTAAAAATTCTTATGAGTTGATCCATTTAGTAAATCATTGGATTATTCATTAAAATAACTTTCCTCTATCTTTAAGACCATAAAGATTCGGTTCTAAGTTTAATTATTAAGACTTTGGGCTGATTCTACTATTCTTATCAAAGTTATCTCTAAAAAGGAATAGATAAATACATGCAAATACAGAAATTTGACTGCCCCTTAACATTTCTTCAAATGACCTAAGGTAATGATTCAATATTTTAACTATAATAACTACCTTAAATTCAGTTTATTTTAGAAAAGAATTGTTGAATGTAGTTTTATACATACTCTTTTTGTTTGCAATCTTATCAATACCAATCACTGAAACAAGTTGCTGAAAACACTACTGGAATAGATTGCAGTGATATAGTATACTCCTCCCTCGACCTCTGTCTGATGTTTCCAATCCCTGCACACAAGTATAAGTGAAGCATTTTAATTTGCAACTTTTTTTAGGGTAATTGTACTAATTTCTTGAGAAATTGATATTAGTGTCACATACATTTTTTTAAATTATAATATAATCTTTTCTTTGTTAAGTATTCTTCTTGAATCTTAACATCATTAGTTATTTACAAAAGAAAAACATTACATTTTTTTCATATTATATTTTAATTTGTTTTTATTTTTCAAAGTGTTTTGAAAACACTGGAGTCCTAAACATGTAGAGAAATAATGTTAAGATCCCGCATCACTTAAGTATATAGATAAAGTTCTCTTTATAAATAAATTTCCCCCTTTCTAGTTTCAGTTAGATTTCAGGATGAAACTAGTTTTCTCAATTCATGCTTCCCTACATCAGTCAAGTATACAGCTAAAGTATTCCAGTAGTTCAATAACAAGTTAACACTTTCTTGTTCACATAGTTTGATAGGCAAAATACCTTCAGGACCACCTGATATATCATAATGCTCTACAGGAATCGATAATATAATTTTTCCATTGAACTGTTATGTGAATTTCAGAACAAAACGATTCAACGTTATCCTGTTGTGGGTAATAAGGAACTGTCTGGACACTGAAAACAACTACAACGAAATGCCCATGGATGATATGAGAGAGGGAGACATTGAGTGAAACAAAATATAATGGTAACCATTTTTTACTGCAATTCAACAACTTCAATTGTAAATAAAATCTGATCTGCAAATGGTATTAAGGACCTTCGCAATAGATGCCCTATTCATTTTTTGACAATAGAAATGGGTTGTTGGCCATATTGCCCATTTCTTCAAAACCCTCAAATTTCAATTACATTTGCATAAGAGGTTATAAGACCTAACAGTCCAGGCAGCATTTCCATAACGAACGATTACATTTGCAGAAGTTATAAGACCTAACAGTCCACACGACATTTCCATAACAAAATGTTATGTATAAATATAAAAAAAAATGATGGTTCAAGCGACTAAGCTCACCAGGCATTGCGGACCGTTGGTGCAGCAGCTTGTTATCCCTCCACGGTTGGGAGCCTGAGGTATTCGCTGCTCTGTGAAACCAGCCTCACGCGGTGCCCTCAAGACTAGAAGACAAGGAGCCCTAGCCTTCGCTGAAGGCCCGTGACTCAACTCTCAACTTGGAGCGGGCAAGCAAACAAATTGCAGCCACAGCCCAACCCAACCGAGCAAAGAAGCTGTTCGATTAGGTTGATGCCCCAACTTGGGTCATAAGCTGGCGCAACCCAACTCGGCGAACTGACAAGCTTGTCAGAGGGTTTATAAAGATTATGCCTTTTTTTTTCTGCTGAATGTGGGACTTGCAAATGTTAAGACACATTGTATTAACTAATAAGTCTATTTTCCCTACATCGATTTACAACCAAAGTATTTAACTAGTATAGCAAGTGAACACTTTCTTCCTGGTTGGCAACATACCTTTGTGATTAATGGAGAACATCGTGAAAATCACATTGAATGTCCTCCCTATGCTCATACACTGATTCTGAATTATGTTTGGAAATTTGCAAAACAAATAACATGCAGACCAGTTGGTGGTGAGAGTTATTAACGGGTCATTCCCTCCAATGGGTTGGGTTAAAATGAATACACAGAATGCAAATCCCAGCGAAGCTAGCTGTATAAAGTTTCTTCAAGAAAAATCATAAATTTTCAGCCTTCACAGCTGAGATATGGGCTATGATTTTGGATTTACAGTAGGCCTTCAACACTGCTTTGAGAAAATTATTGACTTATATGACCTCTATTCAGTGTATTGTCCAACTAATTGTAAGGGCATCCGTGCCCCTCCCTTTAGTTGTTTAGTTTGTTTTATTTTGGGCATAGATTCAGTTTTTAGCAAAAATACATTAATTTATGACTGAAATTAATAGCAAAATGAATATCTGCAGTCTGCTCCGCTCCTAATTTCTCATCTATTTAAAATATACTAGGCAACCAGCCCCAAAGCCTCAAACAAAGGAAACCTACACAAGTAACCACAAGAAAATTAACATCAATTCCTTCCTAATATTTTCGGAGATTTATAAACCGTTAAACTGAACACTTCTTAATTATAAGTTCTTTATTCAGATATGGACATTTGTTTTTATTTTTTTAACTGTTCACATAATTTCAGGTTAAATACGGTGGTTGGGTAGTGTGTTTCTTATAGCGACGAATCTAACAATCAAAGTCTAATCATTACATCAGAAGTCCACTTGAGTTTGTTACTTCTGTTCCTCGTCAAGCTTGGACAAATCTCAAACCCCACCCATTATATATAACATGCCCTTTATTTATTTTAGAGTGAACCCTTTATTTATGTCTACAAGATTAATGTATATGCCCAGATTATTTTTGTAAATAACTCATTCCCTCAAAAGATTAACATCTTATTACAATAGCCTTATAAATATTTTAATCATCAAAACAATTTTAAAATCTAAATGGTGATCCATATTCATCCTTATAAATGGCTAAACCTAAAACAGTAACAAGAAAAAAAGAAGAAGATGAATTTGATCATTGTTTAGTTTTTTTTTTAATTAATTGGGTGACAAAAATATTTAAGCAATTATTGTCAAATGACCAACCGATTACATAATTTCCTCGTCGTTTAACCTGGATAAAAATATGTGCTTTACAATACTATATTATGAAATATGTCATTAACGGGTGCCCAATTACTGTGAGTATTACAGACAAGAAAATGGTTGCAACTATTCATATAACATAGTAAAAACATTTGGAGATGATGTTTCCACACAAGTTCTACTCAATTATTCTAGCGAAATGCAGCAATAGATGATGTTTCTTCGGGGTGGCTCCAGTATCTATTTTGCAACCAAATAGAATCAGCCACCACTGCATATCCATCTTGATTACGATTCCAACTAAAATGAGCATGACTTCTGTTCTTTATATCAAGAATCCCATGCCCAAAACTGGCTTCACGGTATGCTGAGTAGCTTGGCTGGGGCTCTGTCATACTGCACCATTGAGGACAATGTAACAACTAGTGCGGTTTATTTTAAAAATGCTGAAAGCTTAAAGAAAAATAATAACCATTATAACAATAAAAATAAAAATATAATGAAATCATACAGATCAATTTTTGGTTAGGTAATATACGTACACAGTAGCCAGTCCTTCTAAATTTCCTCCATCTCCAATTGTTATGTAAACTGGGGCAGATTGGTCATTGATGGGCCTGCACAGCCTATTTACAATATTATATGCAATATTTGATACGGGTTCCTGCAACAAAGAAGCATGGGATTATCACTTAACAAGGTCTTTTTATTTCTCAAGTAGTAAGAGTAGATGTTTATTTTCTCAAAATTGTTAAACATAGAAGCAACTTTGATCCATCATTGTCCCAGGAGGAGACATTAATAAATTGTGCCAGCAAGTTCCATTCACACCAAACTATGGGGGGAAAATGGGAGGTTACATAAACATTTAGGTATGGTTTTCACCCTATATATATCATCTTTCATGAATTAATTTGCGCTCATTGTCATTTACTGATAAAGATAACTTTATGTGCAAGAGAGCTATGCTGTAGAATACTCTCCTATCTTTATTTGACCACTTTTAATAGATGAGTTGCTAGAAAATTTATGTAGACCAACTTCATCAAGAATTTTCAGTAGCTAATATCTCAGTCTATCAGAATGGAAATCAAGATACAATATAAAGAATTGAAGACACCAATATTAATG